CTCTCTCTCTCTATCCCTCTCTGTTTCTACTCCCTCTATCTCTACCTCTCTCTATATATATTATATCGTTGCCTCTCCCTACCCACTTTCTCTCCTACCCACCATCTCTCTTTTCCTCTCTGCTCCTATCCTCCTCTCTCTCTCTCTCTCTCTCTCTCTTCCCCACTCTCTTAAAAATCCCCCAACAGCGATCTCTGGGACCAAGCGTCAAATTAGCCATAGGAACAACGGATAAAAACGAAAGGAAACTAATGATCCCACACCGCTTAAAGAAGAATGGGTGGCCGTCGATTGACACATATCGGATCATATATTTGCATATTGTGCCGGGAACCGAGGAAAGAATCGAGGTCTACATGGTTACTTTTGAGGGGCATTGAGAAGTAAGAACAATCTATCATTATTCGTAATCGAATGGCACGAAAGCGGTAATTACCCCCCTCCCATCTCCCAATCCCACCTACTTAATCCTTTGTACTTTATCCTCTATCACGTTCCGATTCACCCGCTTAAAAAAGGAACACCCCAACACTTCTGTTCCCTCACCCCCACCCCCTCCCCCGACCTCCTTTCACTAAGGTAAGCACAAAACTGTAACACATTTTAATAACAGTAAATCACTCACCTGCACGTATTTTCAAACAGGGCATTAAATAGCACCTTTTACTTTTACTGTCCCGATGATCTCCACCGCCCACTAAAATGACCAAATAGCTCACAAGTGGCAAACCCTGATCAACATGTATTTGTTGTGCCAATGTAAGAGGTGGTTGCATCTTTGGTAACAGTAAATCCCCTGCCCTCTGAAATTACAGCGGATCTTAAAAAAGGTGCTACAGTCCAGATAGACACTGGTTTTAGACCAAAAATCTGTGCGAGTGAGGTACAATTATATCATTCCTTCATTCTTGAGATATTTATTTCACATTCAGCCATTTGTCTAGGTAACTTCTTGGTCAAAAAAATGAAATCCCAGTAAAAATCAAACTAACTTTTTTTAAAATGAAAAAATTTAGTAACATAGAAATGTATACTTACTTACTTTTTCTTTTCCATCCTTTATTGCGGTTAAGCCTCGAGGGGAGATGCAGTTTTCTAAAGTAGGCTAGCTCCGCATCTCTTTTGGTAGTGATATTATGTTTTTCCAGGGTTACCGTGACACCCTCGATCCACCTTTATAGCCTGAGTGCTTGGTGTTGTAGGCTCGCTCTCGAGGCTGGCTGGCCAGGTGACATACATAACAGGAGGCCAAACCATTTTATTCGGTCTTTTTGTGAAATGAAGACAGGACTCAATGCCGATGGCTGTTCTTACTTCTGCATTTCTCTGCTTGTCTCGTCTCGTGATGTTAAGAGTTTGTGGAGATATTTCATATCGCATGCAGTGATTTTGCTTTCATGGGTTTATTTAATGTCCAGGTCTGGCACTGGTAGCATAATGTTGGTATGAACATTGAGGTGATAATAGCTGTCTCTTTGTGTACGTGGAGATGTTTGGATGAGATAGAAAGGGGGGGGCAAGCTGGTAGGTGACAGCGTTGGCTTTTTGAGTTCGCATTTTTATTTCTCTGTCTTTGGACCTGTTTTCAGAAAAAAAAGTATTGCCAAGATATTTAAATACCTTGGCCTGTTTCAGTTGTTTTCTATTGACATGGATGTTCAGGGGACTACGGTTTCGGCTCATTTGCATAACTTCTGTTTTTGCAGTGTTTATTTTGATGTTAAATTTCTTGCAGCTGTTGTTCAGTTCGGTAGTGTGATTTTGGAGGCTTCGTTGGTTTGGATTAATAAGACATTGGTCGTCTGCGATTATAAGTTTATTTAGGCTTTCTGGGCTTTGATTTGTGTCTTGCGTTATTTTGTCCATATATATATAATATAAACATGACGGGAGATAGAACACTTCCCTGTCGTACTCCAGATCTTACTTTGAACCAGTCTGTGTTGCCTTCCTTCGTTCTTACTGAGCGTCTGTTGTTGGTGTATAGAGCTCTGACAGTATCTAACATTTTTCCTCTGACGCCATACTTTTCAAAAGTCTTTCAGAGTTTTGCTTGGTTCACTCTGTCAAAAGCCTTCTCCTGGTCTATAAAGACGATGTTGGATTCTTTGTTGTGTTCGATTGTTTTCTTGCATATCTGTCTTAACTTTGTTTAAATTTCTCTCTACAACAGGTCTTATCCATTTTTGTTGTATCTTTGCGTATATTTTCCCTGCGTGGCTTAATAAAAGAGATGTCTCTGTACATTGTGCAGTCGCGTTTGTTGCATTTCTTTTTCCATAATGGGACCGCTATGGCTTTTGCCAGTCATCCGGGCTTTTCCTTTGCTTCTAGGATCTATTGAAAATTCGCCTCAGCCAAAGTACACAGGTGTTTCCACAAGCTCTTATGGCTTCAAATGTGATGTCATCTGGTCCTGGGGCTTTGTTCGTATGGCTGGTTTTGAGTGCCTTTTCAATTTCACTAAGAAGTATGGGTGGTTCTGTTTGTTCTCCATATAATGGTTGGAACTCTTCTTGCTGTCCGTGGCAAGCTTCTGGGTTGTGTGGTTCTTGGAAGTAATTTTCCCTTTTTTTCTTAAGTTAA